GAATACTGCAAACCACAAAATGTAAATGGAAGGAAATTAATAATCAACTAAACACTGCCTATCATACCTTTAATACTAACTATTCTAAAGGAAGCTACAAGGCACAGTGGACAGAGAGCTAGGCCAAGAGTCAGGAAGACCCAAGTTCAAATCTAGCCTCAGACAATTACTAGCTGCATAACCCTGGCCAAGTCACTTAACCTGTTAACCTCAGTTTCCTCATCTGTAAAATGAGGATAATTATACCTCACAAAGTTGTTGTAAGGATCAAATGAAATAAAATTTATAAAGTTCTTAGTACAGTGCTTGGTATACATCAGTGGCTTAATCTATGCACGTTTCCTTCCTAATATTTTTTCAATAAGCAGCGGTCATCACGTACCTTTCTTTTCACTGGCACTATAACGACCAGCAGAGATTATACCAAGCCTTTACAATATGCACCTATTCGATCAGCTCTGAAGGCATCAGTAATGGTGTCAATGACTCACAAGCCTTGGGTGGGGCCTGTGACCTCGAGGCTCCATGACCCTACGAGATGCCCAGGACCCACCTGGCTGCCTCTTTTGGAACTTTTGTCTGCTTGCTACTTGTAACGAGAGTCAAAACAAATGATCGGTCAAAGGGCAGTAATCTGAAAAATTCAGACAATTCAGGGAAAACAGAGGGTAAACTGTGCAAATGGTATACTGACATCAGAAATGGAATGAGTAAATTATAAGGAAAATGTAAAAAATGAGAGATTTTCTTTTCTCTGCATCACACTTGGCACTTCCCAATCATTATCTGAAAATATGACAAAGGGTAAACCAAAGCAAGCATTAAAAAATGCACTACCGTAACTAAAAAAGTGTGCTTTAATTCCTAGGGGGCGAAGAGCCATCCTCACAGTCTACACGTCATGAGCACCCATAACAAAGCTCACAGATCTTATAACTGCTCATTCATAATTGAGAAGGTCAGTCGGCTCGTCTGTGCCCAGCAGGTAGGCTCACGGCGACACAATGAAAGAGACACGTGAAAGAAGAGCAGGAGGTAAGGCCACCAGACGGCCCGACTGCCCAGAGGTTAAAGAGGTGCCAGGCGGCGACGGTGAAAGCCGTGGGGCAACGCTGGGCCACTTTTTCCTCTTTCTGGGTTTTCAGTTACTCTATCTGGAAAGTTAAGAACCATAACACACAACCGAGCCCCATCCAGTAAAATACCAATACTCGGACACATTAAAATGCTCCTTTCGTCACAACAGCTCTCCAAAAGGAAAGATGAACGGCAGCCATTTTCTCTTGGGGCAGGGATGGGCAAAAGAGTGTTGAAAAATTACAGAGAGAGCCCTGCATCCCAAGGTAACTAAGAAACTGCCAGGAGAACACAGAAGATCAGAGAGAAAGAAGTCCTTCCGATGAAAGCAACACACGCAGAACACAGGGCAAAAGGCAGAGGGCTGGCCTCCCACCCGGCCAGCTCCCTCTCCTCTTTATTCCACGGTCCCTGGTGAAATACCAGTGGGAATGTTAACCCTTCTTCTCCCTACCCTGACTCTTGGCCTTTATAAATACACCACTATAACACCCTCGGCTCTCAGTAAAACGCTTGACAAGCCGAGAAGGAGAAAGGAAACCATAAGACTACCAGACGACACTCCAAACGAGACCGTCCCCCGGACAGAGGCTGATCCAGTCTGGAAGGACAGGAAAGAAGACTCCCCGGCCAAACGGACGAGCTGGAAGAAGCTCAGAGGGGGCGCAGCCCAGGGCGTTTGGAAAGTCAATGCTCCAGGGTTCCCCAGGACTGTGAGAAGGCACTTTTATCCGCAGCTTCCCAAGGTCTGCTGTACAGCTTCTATAGACCAGGATGTATTAGTGATGACTGACTGCCTTAAAAAAATCACTCAAAATTAATTTACACGTAAATTTACTAAGCAAGCTTAACTGTACTGATGTTTAGAGGTGTTTTTAATAAAAGTTTAATTTTTTTTAAAAACTGTACCGGAGTTCTTCTGTGTCCTGTCCTTCTCAGTATTCCTTAGGAGATGATCCACTTATTCCAATTATGCTTCTATTTAGCAAAAAGTATTTTAGGAACTTCCTTCAAAGCCCGATGATTATTACGGTTATTAATACTGTGGTTATTAATAAAGTACACGTGTATAGCACATGCAGCTTAGGAAGTGATTTCTCTTATAATAGCTGACTTTAATCCTCCACAACTGTGAGGCAGACAGAACAGACACCATGCTCATTGTTTAAGGACGAGGAAACAGAGTCTGAGACATGATAAAGGACTTGGCCAAGGCCAAGGCCAAGGGAGGAGGAAAATGCCGGCCTCCTGACTTTGAGCCCTCTTTCTTTCTTTTTATTTTTTTATTTTTAGGCAATTGGGGTTAAGTGACTTGCCCAGGGTCACACAGCTAGTAAGTGTCAAGTGTTTGGTCTGAGGCCAGATTTGAACACAGGTCCTCCTGACTTCAGGGCCGATGCTCTAGCCACCTAGCTGCCCCATTAGAGTCCTCTTTCTAAAGCACACGTGTGTGTGTGTGCGCGCACGCACACACACACAGAGTAATTTCAATGCAGATTCAGCACCTCATTTTTTGTGCATCTTGATTGTTGGCCTCATTCACCAGACCTGACTCCAAGTTTCTTCTTTTTATTCCCTCAAAATCCAACATGCCTTCAAAGAACGAAAATTAAATACCAGTCAGGGTATTTGAAAGAAAGATGTGTCAAGGGCACTTTCAAAAATGTTCCAGAAGATGGTGGATCACAGAGATTCTGACCTGAACACGCCCCATACAGCTGGCCGCAGATGGAGCAGCGTGAGAGAGGGGGGTGATCGCATACCCCTGCCCCCGCCAGCATGCATGAGGAAGCGAGCAGCTGCTCTGTGCAACACCGTTTCTCCTCCCCAAAGCAGGTGAGACGTTTTCTTCTTGTAGTCTAGACCCCTGGACAGGAGCTCGGGAACCTCTCCGCTTTAAAGGCAAGGAAGGTGGCCACTGAAGCCCATCGGCTGGAGAACAGCTGAACAAATCATGGCACAGGCATGTAGTCCCGGTCACTGCACCACAGAAATGGGACAGATGGGCAGAAGAAGGAAACAGGCATACACAGGGCACCTGCTCCATGCCAGGCACTTATCTCAGTGGCTCCTCACAACACCTCCAGGAGGCAGGTACTATTATCTGCATTTTACAGAGGGGGAAACTGAGGCTGACAGAGGTGAAGTGACTTGCCCAGGTCACTCAGCTAGTAAGTGTCTGAGGCCAGATGTGAACTCATGACATCCTGACTCCAGCCGCTCTCTACCCCCTGCACCACCAGCAGCCTCTAACTGAGATTCAGTAAAACTTGGTAAGACGGAAGGGACGCAGGGCAAAGTGAGCAGGACCAGGAGAACAACAGACCAGCTGATACCAGGGGGACAACAGTGCAAGGAAGGGTGCCTCGGAAAGGCCAGAGCACGTGGACGAGGCAATGGCACGTGGGGCTGCAGAGGCTGGGGGCGGGGGATGGGGGACGGCCGGGTTTGTGCCCTGCACAGTGCTCGGCACACTCCAAGAGCCTAACAGAGCCTTGTCTGACTTGGACTCAAACATGACACACACTTTAAAAACCTCGACATGACAGGTCACAGCTCTTTTGTGTCCTTTGTCTACTGAAATATTTGTCTTCCTGAATTTTAAGTCCATGTTTAAAAAGGAAAAAAAAAACTTTGAAAAAATTCCAGCGATTGGTTGCAGCTGGTCCCTTGAGGGCCGAGCCGGGCCTGGAAGCCAGAGTAACCCGCTTCCCACTGCACCACCCAGCCACCAACACCACGTGACCGCTCCTCGCTTTACGCTATCTTTACAACGCCAGCAAAGCCCACGTCCTGTGAGACTGCCTTCCGATACTCCTTGAACTCCGGCAGGAAGAATCACCCACAGCGTGCAAAGCTGCCCAGCGTGGCACTTAGCCAGTCATTCAGAGTCTGCGTTTTTACTGTTATGTAGGACACACCTCCGTGTAACAGATTCACCTTGGGTCTTCTTCAAGCACCGAGCTCCTGATGACCAACAGGGCCTCGTGATGAGGCAAGACCACAAGAGCTAGGCTGACTTAGCCAATGCAGTAAAAACGGTCAACTCAGCTGCCCCCAGAGACGCAGACTGGGGTGAATTTCCTTTTCATCTGCTATGGAAGAAGAGCCCAGAATACAACTGTATCACCAAAAGTGACCAAGTAGACGTAGGAGGGTGAATCTGTTGTTCGGTTACTTTTCAGTCACGTCCAACTCTCTGTTACCTCATCTGGGGTTTTCTCAGCAAAGATTACTTCTCCAGCTCATTTTACAGATGAGGAAACTGAGGCAAACAGGGTTAAGTGACTTGTCCAAGGTCACACAGTTAAAAAGTGTCTGAGGCCAGATCTGAACTCAGGAAAATGAGTTTTCCTCACTCCAGGACCAGCACACTATCCACGGGGCCACCTAGTTACCAAAAAAATACACTCAACACAGCCTATCAGCGTTGTTGTTCAGCCTTTTCAGGCACATCCAAGGCTCTGTGACCCCATTTGGGGCTCTCTGGGCACCGACACTGAAGTGGTCTGCCGTTTCCTTTTACAGAGGAGGAAACCAAGTTCCAGAGCAGTGAGCGACACAGTGGTAAATGACACCCTGTCCTCAGATGCCACATCCTGCACTCATGCATCAACCCTTTAAAGGGCCACGATCTGGTCGGGGCACATCCCTCCTTCACCACCACAGACCACCATGCCTCCCAGGGCACCACGCAACAGGCACCGCTTTATACTCAATTAAGGTACTCAACTGAAAAGAATGAAGCAAGGTTCCGTTCAACAGTGTGTCCTGAGCAAATCTAGAAGTTATTTTTTACTTTATCAGTGACACTCACATTTTTTTTCTTTGCCCTATTTTCTGAATTATACAATTGCGAATTGTTACCAAACAAATTAAGGAGAAAGCACTTTTACATCTTTAACGCCATCAACACACCTTACCTGAGTACGAATTCAGAGAGACAGTCCACCGGACTGTTAGTCCGATGAGGACCGCAATGGTCATCGAGTGCCACTCTTTCATAGCTCTTCTTCACTTGGGCCACAAGGGAAGAACAGGCCCCAGCCACTTCCAAAAATGTCCACTCAGTGCTTTCAAAGGCACACGGCCTTCATCTCCCAACTACTCCCTTGATCACAGAAAAATGTCAACATTCAAGGTGTTATCACCTCTCTGCAGCTTGGGAGTTCAGCCAACTTCAAGGGACGGCAGCTTCTAAGTGTGGAATCAGACAGTGGTTGTCTGACACCTCAACGCAGGAAAGACTCTAAGAAGAAAAAAGAAAAAGTAAATTCAATGATTGTTAATATCAAAGATTTTAAGATTTGTTTGAGTAACAAGAGTTAAAACATGAGATTAGTCGCTGACTTAAAAAAATGAGGGTGGGAGAAAGGAACTGTGGAAAGCGCAGCATTTAGATATCCTAGCTCTGCTAATTATTATCCAATGTGAGCTTGGGCAAGCCACCTAACTTATGTGGGCCTCAGTTTCCTCATTTATAAATATGAACTATAAGTACAACTCCCTTCTTGAATTTCAACCAAAACAGAGAAGACATGGCTGGCTGAGCAAGAATATGCCAGTAGTTAAAGAGTGTGACCCATCCAGGTATATGTCTGATATTAGAATCAGAGAATATGTAGATAAAAAGATAACTAATCCAGGCTAAAGAACACTGACTAGGGCAGCTAGGTCGAACGCAGCACAGAGTGCTGGGCCTGAAGTTAGGAAGACGAGTCTTCCTGAGTTCAAATCTGGCCTCAGACACTTACTAGCTGTGTGACCCTGGGTAAGTCACTTCATCCGGTCTGCCTCAGTTTGAAATGGCAAACTACCCCAAATGACATCGAGTCGGACATGACAAAAATAACTAAACGACAAAGTACATTAACTGCAACACCAGATATTTCTTTGTCCGAGCAGAATTAAAGCCCCCAGCGCTGGCCAAGCATTGATTCTGGGGAAGGACACCTTGGTACTAAAAAGAAATGAAAACTTGCAGCTATGAAATTCCTTAGAGAAATCCTCAGAAATGTAATTTCTTCACTCCGGGTTTTCTCTGTCTGCGGGCTCACACTATTTCGTGCTGACGAGGTCCAGCCTGCAGCTCAGAAAACATCCCCAGGATGCTTCAACAACACAGAGCCATGACCGGGGAGAAAAAACCCATGTCATGAAAGCCCAGGGTGAGCAGTGAAATATCACCCATCGTTGACAAGTCACTTCATCAGTCCTTCCCCAAAATGGGGTTTGGGAAGGAAATGAACAAAAGGAAAGGTTCACCCCCCCTAGGGCCAAACAGCGCACACATTAGTCATGGGAGAAACTCTGATCTAAGTAGAGTGAATGTTAAAAAGTGAGGTCAGGTCAGGTCAAAGCTGTTAAAACTGGTCCCAGTCTTCTCTTCTTTATCCTTCCTTCTGGTGTGACAAGAGTTTTCCGCTTTGCATTGGAGGATCATCGATTCTGAGCTGGACAGGGCCTTGAACCTATGTCTGGTCCAAGGTGGGAAGCGGCATTCCTCTATTTATCCAGTGGTCATCTTCCACCGTATGTAGCTAGCTGGCTCTGACCTACCTGCCAGGTCAGCCATTGGCTTTCCCCTGTCTGTTAAGATATAATCCATTTGCTGGCCAAGATGGCAGGGGGATGGCAGCCCAGTTCCCACACAGGTCCTCCAGAAAAGATAAAACAAAAGAAGACCAGACCAGTCAGTGATTAGCAAAGAAAGGGAGCACCTCCACTCAGCCTAAGTCACCAAAAGAAGATACCCCTAAGCCTGCAGGGTATCTAAGGAGGGGCCCGGCCTTCTAGCTCCCTCAGCCTAGAAGCAGCCAGCCAGGGAGGCCCCCTTAAATAAATCCCAGAGCAAATAAGGCCCTGGGCAGGGTAGACTAGGAGGGGAGGTGGCAAACCTGCTACAGAGAAGGCATTTATCAGTCTGCAGGCCCTGCAGCCTTGCCAGCCTCAAAGAGCTCAGCACTGCACGCCAGGAGCACAGATACAAGCACGGCGCCTGGGAGCACCTCCCTCTCAGCAGACGCCAGAGGGCCAGCAACAAGACAATGGAGACCCAAGTGGGGCCTACAACCCCATCCGAGTGTGCAAGGGCTGGCAGAGCCTGGCAGCCCTGATAAAAAGCCCCAATTCTGGAAGAAAAGCTTGAAATACAGATGAACAAAAGACACCGACGATAAAGAAATGCCACACATCCCAGGACGTCCGGTGCACAAGCCTAGAGGAAAAGAACGATGTCATGTCTACTAAAATTTCTGGAAGAGATAAAAAACAATATTATAAATGAAGTGAGCATTCTGAAGGAAAAGAACTAAAACAAAAATAGTTTAGCACAGAATGTGTAAAATCTTACACAATTAAACAGCTTCCTGAAAATCGTAATGGACAAACAAAATCCATGACTCCATGAAACAAGAAATATTAAAACAAAATTGAAATACTGAAAAAAAAGTTAAATTATCTCCTGCTGAAAACAAATGAGCTTGAAAATAGATGAAGGAAAGGTAACCTAAAAATCATTAACGCTACCAGAAAACTATTTTTTTAAAAAAGCCTCAATGCCATAATAAAACAAATCATAACTGAAAACTCCCCAGACATATCAGAAGCAGAGGGCAAGGTGAAAATAGAATCTATCACTTATCTCCTGAAAGAAACTCTAAATGAAAACTCTCAGGAACGTCATTGTCAAATCCAAAGTTTCCGGGTTAAAAAACAAAACTAAACAAAAAGCCAACAAGCCAAGAGAGAGAAAGAGTTCAAATACTATAGAGCCAAAGTCAGGATCCCATAAGACTTGCCAGCTACCAAAATAAACAATAGGAGAACTTGGAATATGAGCTTCTAAAAGGCAAAAGATAAAAGCTTAAAACCAAGAACAACTTGCCTGGCAAAACTGAATATAATCCCACGGGAGAGAAATGGATCTTTAATGAAATTAAAGAATTCTAAGCATTCTTCACAAATGCTCAGAGTGGAACAGAATCTCTGAAATGGAAATAAAGAGTCAACTGAAACCCAGCAAGGTAAATACATGGGAGCAAGAAGAAGGGACAACACAGAAAGAACGTGTGTTGTTCAGTCATTCAATCCTATCCATACATTCAAATACTACATTTTGTTCAGCCAGTCCCTAATTGATTGGCATCACCTTTGTTTCCACTTATTTGTTACAGCAAAAAGAGTGTTTACAAATAGTTTGGGTGTATGTGAACGTCTTTCTTTGACCTTTCTGGGATATAGGCCTAATGGTGGAATGAGAGTTTGTTTTCCTTCTAACTAATCCTTCCTTACTTCTAGCCTCCCTCTTAAACCCTTCTTCCTTCTCCCTGATCTCACCTTCCTGGGTTTCAGTTGACTCTTTATTTGCATTTCAGAGATTCTGTAGAGAGAAACAACTTTGAAAGCCTCAAGAACTCTGACAGGACCATGACCAACCAGGACCCCAGAAGGCTCCACGCTGTCCATCTCCTGACAGCATGGTGAAACCAACGGGTGGAATGAGACACGGAGAATGTGTCCATTTATTCCGCTTGACTAGACTTATTTGTTACAGGGCCTGTGTTTTTCTTTTTTTATTTAGGTGGATTTGGAGGTGGAGAGGGGTTGAAAAAAATTTTATATTAAAAAAAGAAAACAATAAATTTCTGGCACATACTTCCCTCCTCTGGGTAAAGAGATGAGAGACCACGGATGCCTGCCTTTGGGCTGATGTTACATAACTTGGCCCCCTGTAAATACAGGATCCAACCAGTTGCCAAATCTAGCCCCTTCTATCCCTTCGCACCCCATGAGCACCACCCTAATTCAGGCCCTTGCCTCTCACCTCCTGAAACACTTCCTACGATGTCTCCCTGCCTCGAGTTTCTCCTCACCCTGGACCACCCTCAGCCCAGCTGCCAGTGACCTTCCCAGAGCTCAGGTCAGGCCCGTCGGCCCTCCCCAAGCCCGCCAGGACAAAATATGAAGTTCCTGGACATAGGGCAGTCTTCACCACCTGGGCCTCCCTAGAGTTCCCGCTCCTCCCCTGCACACACACTACAGTCCAGCCCTGCTGCTGCTCACAGCTGAGGCTACATGCCCTGTGCCCCGGGCCTTTGCACGACCTGTGTCCCACGCCTGGAATGCTGGCCCCCCTCTTAGAATCGAGGGCCATTCCCAGGAGCGGCCGGTGCCTTCTCCTGTAAAGCCGCGTGCAGACAGTCCGTGTATCTTGTAGCCATCAACGCCAACGTCAGGCTAGCATTGACAGTAAGGACCCTGAGCAGAGTGTCCATGTTATGATCACAAGGCACCTCCAGGCTTGCAAAGTGCTTTATGTATATTTCTTCCTTTAATCCTCAGATAACTCCGAGGTAGGTCCTCTTACTATCACCCCCATTTTACAGATAAAGAAACTGAGGCCGAGTTTAAGTGACTTGCTCAGGGGAACACAGTGCAAGTTTGAAGCAGGATCTGAACCCAGGTCTTGCTAATGCCAAGGCCTGTTCTCTCCACACCACAGCCTCTCCCATCAGAAGGTAAGCTCCTTGAGGGCAGGACCTGTGTTCACTTTATCTTTGCATTCCCGTGCGCATACAGAGCACCTCCTACATGCTCCCTGGCGGTGACGTGTGCATCACAGGGCTCTTGCTGCCATTTAACAGGATTCAGGGGTAGGAGGGAAAATCTGAGTTCGAATCCTGCCTCCAACACTTCCCAGACTGCCTCTAGCACAGTACCTGGCACACAGCAGGCTCTTAATAAGTGTTTATGCAATGGATGACAGCTGTGCCGCTGGTCACTTGGGAACAAGTCACTTAATCTCCGACAGCCTCAGTTTCCCTCTACATAAAATAGGGATGACAGCACCCCCCCAGGTTGCTGTGGGTACACTGTTCCTATCAATGCTGGCTATTAAAGGCCATGGATGGTTGTCTGGGCCTCAGTTTCCTCATCTGTAAGATGTCTCTTCCTTCCCTGTATCTAGCTTGTCTTTGGCTCCTCCCACAGCGAAATGCTAGAGTTTCTGGATGTCTGCAACATTCCCAAAGGACAGCCTCAGTGTCCTCCTCTGGACGGGGGCGGGGAACAGAAGGTGCGGAGGGCGCCCCAGTAGAAGCGCGGAGGTGGGAAGAAGCACGCCGCGCATGCGCTCTGAATGGCCCCGCCCCCGCAGCGCTGGAGGCCACGACAGCCCCCGTGCCCCTGGCCAGACGGAGAAGGCCGGCTGCCCCCGCCCTTCTCCCCCTTCTTAGACGCCAGAGGCCGCGCCGGCCTCATGCGCCAGCCTCCCTCCTCCCCAGAACGGACTCTTACCCTGCTGCTCACGGACCCCGCCGGCCCTCCGGCTTCCGCCCGCACCGCCTTCCGCCAGAGCGCCTGCGCGCTGGGCTTGCGAGGGCTCGACCCCGCCCCCAGCGCGCGCACGCGCAGGAGCGAGCAGGAGCGGGGGGGGCGGCGAGGAGGAGAGAGGCCGGGGGGGGGGGACGGGGCCTGGACGTGGGGGGGGACGGGGCCTGGGCGTGGAGGGGCGGGGCCTAGGAGCCTAGGAGGCGGCGGGGTGAGCCTGGGGGCAGGTGGAAATCCCCGGGCTCCGCTTTCCTGGGAGTCCGGCCAGGGCCTGAGGAGCGGCTTAGCATTCCTGCGCCGGGCTGGCCATTGGTGACCCGGGAATCTCCTGGCCCCGAGGACGGCCGCTGCCCGACTATGCCGGCCTGGAACCCGCCGCTGAGCGCGGCCTTCAATGCCTAGAGACTCCTCTGCGCACGTCCCTCCCAGGGCTAAACTGTCCGCCTCCGCAGGGCAGGCGCTGCTGCAGCGGGCACCTTGCGTGAGACGGAGCGTCCCTGGCCTCGAGGTGCGCAGCTAGTTATTTTGTATCTACAAACTTGTAGACACTGTATCCTATCAGACTAAGAGCAGGCGTCACCGCAACATTCTAGGAGCTCGGGGATATCATTATCCCCGTTGTACAGATGGGGAAACTGAGGCAGGCAGGGGTTCAGGGACTTGCCCAGGGTTGCACAGCTAGGAGGTATCAGCAAGCCGCGTTTCAACTGGGTCTTTCTGACTCCAGGCCCAGGGGTCTGTCCGTTGGCCAATTAGAGAGAAGGATGGATGGATGGATGGATGGATGGATGGATGGATGGATGGATGGATGGATGGATGGATGGATGGATGGATGGATGGAAGATGATGATGATGAGATAACAGATATGGAGATTGGTGGATGATGGATACATAGAGTTATTCATATTGTGTTTATATTCTATTCTATTTACATATGTAAATATGTGTATGTGTGTACATGTATAATATGTGTATACGCCTATGCGTTGATATAGATATGGATGATCTGACTGTAAATGTAGACATTGCTGGAGGCCAAGGTTTAACTCTAGACCTGTGATAGAGACAGAGATGCTGTCTTCCCTCCCAAAAGACAGTAAGCTCATTGAGAGCAGGGGCGTTTCCCTCTTGCCTTCCATCCCTAGCACAGAGCACTATGCCTGGCACATAGTAGGAGCTTCGTCCCACTCGGAGAATCCTGTCCTTCCTTCAAGCTGCCCCTCCCCCAAAGTTCATTTCCGTAACTAAAGCCTTCACGATCATCGTCAGCTGAAACACCCTCCCTCACAGCTACTATGAACCTCGAATATCTCCTCGCTTATCTCACCATTAAACTGGGAACCCCTGAGAACAGAGATGATCTCACTTTTCTATTTGTATGCACAGCACTTAGCGTGATGCTTTGAACATAATAAGCACATAATAAATGCTTTTATTCATTCATTCATTTAAGGTGGACACAAAATTCATGCTACTTAATGGGGAGAGGGATCATAGCACTTGAGCTGAATTTATAGGATCATCTCGAGGCCCCTGAGCATGTGGCCGTTTAGGTCCAAGAGAAACTTCCCCTGCTTTTCCTTAACCCACCCCCACCCAGTGTCCTATCTGGAAGATTCCTGTTCTTTCAAATCTCTGCTCCTTCTTGAGACCAGCACCTTGTTCGTTGCTCCTTCTGGGTCAGCCTCCTGTGGTGGACTGAAAAGAAAACTGAATCAGGAGTTGGATCCTGCCTCTGCCACTCACAAGCTCTGTGGCCTTCAGAAAAGTCACATCACCTTCTCTAGGCCTCAGTTTCCTTGTCTGTAAAATGGTAGGATCGGGCAAGGTGATCTCTAAGTCCTAAGCAGCTCCAACACTCTGACTCTCCTATTCCACGTTAAATGCCAACAAACACTGTCAGACCCTTATGGTAATGAGGAGTCAAGAGACCTAGATTTGGCGTCAGAGGTCTTGGGTTTAAATCATAGCGTCAGTCAATCAGCATGGATCAAGGCCCTGAGCCTTGCAGATACAGAGAAGCAAAACACAGCCCCTGCAGTCAAGGAGTTTATAGTATGGTGGGAGCAAATTCTTTGCTCTCTGGGCCTTAGTTCCTCCTCCAAACAAGGAGTTTGGCCTAGATGATCTCTAAGGGCATTTCTTGAGATGGGGAGGTAGCTCAATGGATAGAGCACAAAGCCAGGAATCAGGAAGATCTGAGTTCAAATCCAGCCTCAGATACTTCCTAGCTGTGTGCCTCTGGGAAAGTCACTTAACTCTGTTTTCCTCATCTGTAAAATGGGTTGGAGAAAGAAATGGCAAACCACTCCAGTATCTTTGCCAAGAAAATCGCAAATGGGGTTGAACAAGGTCCTTTTTAGCCCTAAAGCTGTGCTTCTATGAAGCAGCTGTGCAACTTTGGACAAAATCAGTTAGTTTTCTGGATTTCAGTTTCCTCATCTGTAAAATGCAAGGGTCAAATTTCAATGCAACATTCTATGATTCTACTGTTTGCAAACCACTGTGCTGGTTCATAGGAATCCAGGGCATACATAAATAGATGGTAAAAACTAGAAGGCAGCACATTCTAAGTGCTAAGTGAGCAGTGGCATAGATTGCATTTTCTGTAGGGGCTGAGGAATGAATCTCTTGGGGGAACAGGGAAAAATCTTCAAGAAATGGGAGTCTTCTTTGGCGGGAGAGAATGTCTTGGGGGCATGATGGAGAAGTCAGGAGGAACACAGCCTTGTGGGTAATTAAGAGATGGCTGTCCTGGGCAGCCTCCTTAAATGGAGGTTCTGGGAGGAGCCCTCTACTCTCCAATCAGAGGGAGGGGCTCCAGGGGGGAGAGGGTCCTTCTGAGGGGTGAAGTGGTGAATTCTAGGGCTGGAGTGAGCTTCCAGGCTTCAAGCACGATAGAATGGAAAGTTCAGTAAGTAGAGCCTAGAGCAGGGGTAGAGATCCCCTTAATAAAAGGATTTGTTCTGTGAAGTTTAAATTCAGTCCAAGGGCCCCACTTGAGGATCTAGAGTACCACATGTGGCCTCAAGGCCCCAGTTCCCCCACCCCTGGCCTAGAGTCTTGGATTCTAGGCCCAACATTCCCGCTTGAGCAAATATCCTGGAGCATTTCCTTTTCCTCTCTAGGCTTTTTTTGTTGTTGAGTCATTTCAGTTGTGTCCAACTCTTTGTGACCCCATTTGAGGTTGTCTTGACAAACATACTGGAGTGGTTTGCCATTTCCTTTTCCAGCCCATTTTACAGATGAGGAAATTGAGGCAAACAAGGTTAAGTGACTTGTCCAGAGTCACACAGCTAGGGTGTGTGTATCTGAGGCTGGATTTGAACTCAGGTCTTACTCCAGATCTGGGGCTCTACCCACCGTACCACCCAGGTGTCCAGATACTCATAGGCGGGTTGTGGTTTTACAAAAAATGTTCAGTTAGTAAAGTGCAAGCTTCATATATGGAAAAGCAATTAATACAGTTGGATGGAGTGTGGGACTCATTCGGAGAAATAGTGGAAGACCAAGCTGAAAAGGTTGATTCGGACCAGATTGGAGAAGGCCAGGCTAAGGAATGTAGACTTCACTCAGCAGGCAGTAGGGAGCCGTGGTTGAGTTTTAATGGGGGGGGGTGACCAGAGAAGGGCCACAGGGTTCCAGGGTGGCCCATGTTGTATGGAGGAAGGCAATTTGGCAGCAGGATGCGGGGTGGATTGCAGTATGGAGACAACAGAGGGGGAGAGGCCACTTAACCAGCTAGTGCCATGATCTAGGCTTGGACTGATGGAGGCCTGAGCTCAGCTCTGGCAAGGAGAGCCAGGAGAGAAGGAGCAGCAGGATGGACATTGCCAAGGAAAAGTCGACAGGCCTTGGGGAGAATGAGAAAACTGGGGAACATTTTACAAGACAAGAGGGCATTAAATAAGCCCAGGGAACTTCTCGAGTTTCAAGTTCTATTTGATACTAGTTTGTCTGGGCCCCAGGTCACAGATTATGAGTCCTGAATGAAAACTGAAAAGAAGTGGTGTACCCTGGAGGATCTTGCTCCATAAATACTGATACAGACCTTCTCACTTCACAGAAGTGGCCCGTTCTACAGATCTCTAAGTGAAGTGGATTTTTAGGTAATGGGAATTTACCAGCAGCTCTGGGGAACAGCGAGGGGCAGGAAGTGGGCCATGCCCATGGAGGGAGGGGGCTGGCTAGGGGTATGGGGGGGAGGGCCAGGTATTTTTAGTTTTTTTAGCAGGGGAGGCCTTGGTGGAGAGCAAGAGAGAAGGAAAGCACAGACTGTACAGCAAGGTTAACATGGGTGGTTTTTTGGAATGTGAATTTCTTTCAGAATTCTATACATAAAGGTGAATTTGCATAATGTGAACTTCCATAAGAGAGCTGTCTGTACTTCTTTAAAAGATCTGTGATTTTCCCAGGGCAAGTACCCACTCCATAAATGTCACGTGTAGTCACCATCTCCTGGTTTTCTTGAGTTGCTAAACCTAAAAGTTTTTTGATGACTTTTTGATTATGGTCTCCTTCAAGCTTCACTGGGCTCCTTCTTGGGTAGACCCATGCTTAGTCACCTGTCGAGTCTTTGGAGCCTTTCCAGTGGGTGGAACCTACTAAAGCTACCACTTTTGTGTCTCAGACTTAAAGAACACAGGGTTCCCTCCCTGGCCTATGCAGAATATTTATCAAGAAAATACTCAAGGGATTGCACTTAGGCACTTTCTCAGACACCTTCCCACTTGGACGTTCTATGATTTTTGATTTGGAAATAGTGTATAAGATGACCATGGGGAAGGACAGTAGGGAAGAAGGTTGCTAAAGAAGATGCCTGGAGCACATGAATAGCTTTGTAGTAGCTTCTAGTGTGCCTCAGGGGCCCAGGGTGGCCCAGAGTGGTAGGCTAGATTTAGACAGATAAGATCTAGAACATCCCCATTCCATGTCCCCCAGAGAGGCTGCTCTTTCCACTTTAGAGTAGACTAGGAGGAGGGTTGTGCTGTGTGTTCTTCCACTCATCCAGATCGCTCCGGAGGAGAAAGCGAGGCTGGTGACCTTGCACAGCCCTCCCTCACTTCAATCCAGTTCACTTGCATGTCATGGCATCACCTCCCTGATGTCATGGCCCTCTTCAAGAATGAAGGACAACAACAGCATCTTCAAGAGAAGCATTGGGATAGAATTACATATATGTGTACATATTTATGTACACACACATATATGTCCGTGTGTATATATACTATTATTACATATACAATATATGTAATCTGCATATATACATACATGTTACATATTAGATACTTGTAGTCTATGGGGTTTGATGCTCTATGAGGGGTTCAAGATAAAAACCAATTTTCCTAGTCACTTTAAAGGAGGGGGTAGCAGTTTACTCTCAGCAAGCTTAGCTCCCTCCCACCAAGTAAAATGCTTCTTTGACCAAAGATAGTTGAAGACAGTGAGCAAATGTATTTATCCAAATAAGCAGAAAACAGAAATTGGGGGAGTTATATAGTTTGGAGTAGAAGATAGAATTGTTGTTGTTCACTTGTGTCTAACTCTTTATGACCCCATTTGGAGTTTTCTTGGCAGAGAGGAATGGTTTGCCATTTCCTTCTCCAGCTCATTTTATAAATGAGAAAACAGAGGCAAGCAGGATTAAGTGACTTACCCAGGGTCACACAGCTATTAAGTGTCTGAGGCTGGATTTGAACTCAGGAAGATGAGTCTTCCCCAACTGCAGACCTGTCACTGTATCCACTGCACCACCCAGCTCAGCTTAAGTGAGGAGAGGGGGAGAGAAAAAAATGGTCTCTTCAATCTCATTAGAAAACTCCACATTTTACTGTCTTCTTTATATCATGACTAATGTGAAAATGTGTTTAATATGAATGTATAAGTACAGCTCATGTCAGATTACACACCATCTTGGGGAGGGGGAAGGAGAGGGAGGGGGAGAAAATTTAAAACTCAAAATCTTAAGTGAATGTTGAAAACTAAAGCTAAATAAATAAATAATTTAAAAAGAAAGAAAACTCCATATTTAGACTGCTCCAGCAATCTCTGGCGTGCAGGCACTGGAAATCAAGGAATGTATCAGGGGACCCACTTTCTCCACATGCCCATGGCTCTGAGGACTCCCATGAGACATTCAGAACTTTGCACCCTCTCTCTTGTCCTGTCTCTCTTGAAATCTGCTCTCTCACCATCTCTCCTATGTCTCTCCCCCACCATCACCCCCATACACCATATGGAAAGTCGAGGACTCAGCGCTGTCTCAGCCAATTAGGAGTTATGTCTCCCTACATGCACACGAGGTCATAGAGCAAGGAACTACCAAACCCTGCTAGGCAGGGATGTTATGTTTGTTTTATCTAAAACAGATTTTTATTGATTTTTTTTTGCATTGTTTATTTTTCCTCCTGTATCCTCCCCCTCCCAGAGAATCACCCCTTATAACAAATTGTTTTAAAAAGGAAAAACAGAAGAAGAAAAAATGAGTAAAACTGATCAATACATTTAAGAAATTTTGACATGTGCAGTGCTCCACATCTGTGGACATCTTGAAGCTCCCCTTTAACAGACACACACCTCTGCTGAGAAATGGAGGGAGATGCCTTCTCCTATCTTTTCTTTGGGGACATGCTAGTTCTTGATAATTTTGCAACATTCATTTTCTACCGTTTTGTGTTTGTGTTTTCCGTTTATGTTGTAGCCAATGTGCATATTGTTTTCCTGGCCCTTTTTACTTACCTTTGAGTCACTTCATGTAACATTTTCCATTTGTCTCTGAACTCTTTTTGTTTGTTTCTTACATCACAGTAATATTCTGGAGAGCTTAAAACAGGCTCTCCAGAACAGCGACAAGAGCTGAATTGTATGCATAACACTCTTTTAAGTTTTAAGGAGCATTAAGGTCCTTATTAACATTTTCACCATCATTTTCTTCAGTCTAATAAGCAACAAAACAATCAGTTAAACCCGACTTGTAGGGTTTGCTCATGTCTGAGGTGTCAATGCTCGCGTTGGTAATTTCAGAACCACTTCTCAAGATCTGATTTGAGCTGATTCTGGCACACTCCAGGACATATGCTTCACTGTGGAAGCTCTGGGTCAAAAGTCATTTTGATCACTTCGTTTGCATAATTTCCAGAATGGTTGTGCCCATCAGCATCTCCACCAACACTAGTGTGCCAGCTGTGAGCTGTCCACAGCCCCTCCAACATTGACCTTTGTATTGTTTTGTCATCTTTGCCAACTCTCTGGGTGGGAGGTGAAACCTCAGGGTAGTGTTGACTTTGATATCTCTTATTCAGAGCATTCTTTACGTTTTCATCCAAGGGATCTATCTGATTCTAAGCCATTCTCCTTGTTCCTGGCAGATTATCTTTCCTGAGAGATCACTTTCATAATTTCTTCTTTGAAAATATTAGAACTTGAATCAAGGCCCACAGAAATGAGATGACTTGGTGAAAATTATACAAGGAAGGAATCAGAATAAGGACATATAAATCCTGGGTCCCAGAACTCTGGTCTTTTATACATTATGGCCAAATCTTTTCATCCCCCTGTTTACAAATGGTCCACAAATGGCTATGAGATAAGATCCTGATTTCAGATAGGCTTTCAATGTTTCCTGTAACCTTATCTAAGATAAAATTATTCCACCATTTTCCATCTATAATATTCAGTTCCAAATAAGCTGATCTCTTCCCTATCTGCTCTGTGAATACCTTACCTACAAGTCCTCCTCCAAGCCTATGCTTAGCCTGTTTCTCCTCCCTGGAATGTCCTTCCCACTCTTGTCTTTCCTGAGCCAGAAAATGCCTATCCAATTACAACCCAACTCAAATATCACCTCCTCTATAGGAAGGAAAAGAATATTTATTAAGTGCCTACTGTATGCACTGTGCTAAGCACTTTAGAATTATGGTCTTATTTGATCCTCATAACAACCCTGGGAGGTAGGTGATGTTATGACCCCCATTTTACAGATGAGGAGACTGAGGCAAATGGGTTAAGTGACTTGCCCAGGATCACACAGCTAGTTAAGTTTCTAGGGCCAGATTTGAACTCAGGTCTTCCTGATTCCACATTAGCTCTCACTGTGGAGTCCTCGAGCACCTCTGTAAATCTTTGCCTGTTACCTTCAGCTCACGCAGCTGTGTGTATCCATCCATATCTTCCCGACTGCCCTTACTTCTCATATTTTATATTTTAGCAACAGCTAATATTCTGGCATTGACTGTTTGTTGTTGGTTGTTTAATACATGCATGTAAATCTTTTTCCCAAAAAGACTGTTTTATCTGTAAGGGCCTGAAGATATCCGCTAGGATGTCTTCTCATATGTATACTTAGACTCCTACTACCTTCTACGTTTTCTGCCTCTGTTCTTCACATCCAAGCTAGCACAGACTATGGAATCAATACACTTTTAGTTGATTACAGACTTCTGGACCAGTAGTGCAAACTTGATACCTATTTGAGATGATGTAGTCACATGTCCATCAATCTCTTAATGACCTCCACAAACAAATCAGATTTATGGTGCAGACAGCCATTATGGACTGATTGCTTCTGTAATTTTTTTTTCAAATTTTGTGCTTTGGAGATTCTGTTAATATTGAACTTTGGAAGTTGAAGAAAGAGATCAAATTATGAGAACCTTCTAATGAAGCAGAAATGGCTTACTCTTTTCTTTTAATGGTTTAACACATGGAAGCCTAACCCCCAACTCTCTCCTCTCCATGTTCATAGAATCAGGAAGCTGCTGGTGCAGCGGATACCCAGGAAGACTTGTGATCGTGCCTCCGACACTTACCAGCTGTGTGACATTTGTAAGTCACTTAATCTCTGTCTACCTCAGTTTCCTCATGTGTAAAAAGGAGAAAATAATTACATCTACCTTGTAGGATTGTTTTGAAGATAAAAAGATAATATCAGCAGATTGCTTTGCAAACCTTAATGCTCTTTATACATTCTAGTTATTATTATCTCTGACAAAATCTTTTGAAATCCTTATCACTGAAGAGCTTTAAAAGATAAATAGAGGATTGTGTGTGTTTTATTCCAGAGGCAAGAAGAGGCCAATGCATCTCCTTGTGCGGGGAGGTGACATAGTGAGACGGTGCTTTAGAAATATCAATTTGACAGCTCTGAGGAGATGGATTGGAGATGAGAGAAACTGGATGCAGGGAGACCAGTTAAGTGGTTATTGTAATAGTCCTAGTGAGAGATGCTGAGAGTGCCTGCATTTGGCTGGTGGCAGTGTGAATAGAGAAAAGGAAATGTGGATTGGAGTCATATTATGGAGGTAGAATCAACAAGACCTTGTAACTGATTGGATGTGAGATATGAAGAAGAAGAAAGTGTAGAGACTGTAAACATGAGTGACTAGAAGGATTATGATGCCGTTCAGAAGTGGGGAAGGTTTGCCAAAAAAAGACAATGGGCTCTCTTTTGGACATGCTAAGCTCGGGCTGCCTGTGAGACATCCATTTGGAGATGTCCAAGAAGCAGATGCTGATATGTGACTAAAGCTCGGGAGAGAGACTAGGCTGGAATCATCTATATAGAGATGCCAGTTCAACCAGTGGAAGCAAGTAAGATCACCAATAGAGAAAACGTAAATGAAGGGACTTACCCAAGGTCATACCAAGTGTTAGCAAAGCTAAGATTCAAACCCAGATCTCCTTACTCCCAATCTGATGCTCTTTCCCCTCTATCGAAAACATCTGTAAAATGGTGCGGGGGAGCGCTCTTAGACTAATCGACCTCTAGGGTGCCTTCCAGCTTCCAGAAGTGCTATGTATGGAGGCGTATTGAGAGGGAGTTACAGAGCAGGATAGGGCGGCTAGGATGAATGGAGCGAGTACATCTGTGTGGAGGGAGGTAGGAAAGGCTTCACGAAGGACAAGTGACAAGCAGATGTTAGAAGGAGGTGAGGTGGAGATCCAGGGGCTCGGGTCTATCAAGGCCTCAGGCATACTGGCTTTTGCCAGGAGCATGCTGAAGCCAGCTCACACCGAGCCCGCTGTTCAATTGTTAATGGGAGCATTCGCGCCTCTGAAATAGGCAAATTTTACAAAGCGGGGCTTGATCGAAAGTAATGGAGATAATATTAATGATGCAGATTAAAAGTCTTCTTGTGTAGTTCAGAATACTTTTCCTCAGAGAGCCAGTTGTTAACCATTTACCAGCGCACTACTGCCTTCTACCCCCCCAGTGAGAGCAGAACGAGTCTTCTTACTGAAAATCAGAAGAGTCCAGGCTCAAAAGCTTAGGGTTGCTTGTATCCATGGTGGGACATTCAGGGTGATCTCAGAGCACATTTCTACGCGCATTCGTTGGAAGTTAACGTTGTTACATTCTCCTCTCACTCAACCATTTCTTTTTTGATCTCCTAAGCCAGGCAAGGTCCTGTACTAAGAGCTACGCACAAGTGGGGAAGGGGAAGTAATGAGGCGAATAACATAAGACACATCCCTGTCCTTAAAGAGCTTACAATCTAGGAGAATCTAAGCTGTACAAGTTACAAAATTGAGAGTTCTTAACTTTTGTGTGTGTGATGGATCAAAACCTGGTGAAACCTTATCAGAATCATGTTTTTGGATAATTAAAAAATGCTCAATTTCAGACAGAGATTAGTGAAAATAAAAATGTATTTATTCCTATCCCAGGTCATGGACCCAGTGAAATCCATTCACAGACCTCTTTGTGGATTTCTGGTCAAGAGCCCATGAACTAGAGCAATAATAACCTTTGTTCGTTCCCCACAGCAGCCTGTAAGGAAGGTACAGCAATTCCAAAATCATCTTCCTATTGAAAGATAAAAGTAATGGATAGGGTTGGATGTATCCAGGCTCACAGCTAGTAAGGGTCAGAACCTGTCTTTCAAACTCATTTTCAAAAGTTAGCTAAATTGGGGGCAGCTAGGTTGCACTGTGGATAGAGCACCAGCCCTGGATTCAGGAGGACCTGAGTTCAAATCCAGCCTCAGACACATAACACTTACTAGCTGTGTGACCCTGAGCAAGTCACTGAACCCCATTGCCCACCCCCCCCCCAAAAAAGGAAAAGAAAATGAAGGATGAACAACAAGAAATCCAACTTTTGGGGCAGCTAGGTGGTGCAGTGGATAGAGCTCCAGCCTTGGAGTCAGGAGAACCTGAGTTCAAATCCGGCCTCAAACACAGGACACTTACTAGCTGTATGACCTGGGCAAGTCACTTAACCCCGATTGCCTCACCAAAAAAGGCCAAAAAAAAAAAAAGTTGGCTGAACTATCTTGTTGATTTCACCAAATATTAAACATGGAGTCTTTTTGGTAAGACATTCAGTTCAGAAGACTTGAAGCGGGGGGTCCTGAGTTAAAGCTTATTCTCTCTCTTGCAATACAGTCATTCCTTTGTTCACTGGAATTTCTCTCTATGACTCTGCATGGGGGTCTGTGATCTTGCCTTATGAATATGAGAAGTCCCTTTTGCAACTACAGTAAGTAATATCCTCCTACCCCTATGAGAGACAAATTAAATCCACCTTATACTGATTTCTCTCTACTATCCATAGTGTTACAGGAAATTACCAGGGTATTTTAATTTTCCTGTGGTTAAATACAATTAATCCAAGTTTATTTATGTAGCATTTTGAGATACTAGCCCTTCTATAGGTGATGTGTTAGTGTTCTTAATGTTATATATAGCTATCTCTTCTGATAATATTTTCTAATCCAAATATAAATTTTAAAACAGTTCATTGAAAGACAGAATGTGAAACCAGAAAGACCTGGATTTGAATCACACTTCCTCCGCATTCTAGCTGAAAGACTCTTAGCCTCTTGATGAAATTGTCCAAGACTTTAGATTGCAGGAACAAAAGTCTTGATCTTCACCAGTAAGACTTTCCTCTTCTAAGAGTTCTCTATATCAACCAAATCGCAGGTCTGGTCACTATCCCTATCTTAATAAACACACACACACACACACACACACACACACACACACACAATTGCATTGCTGTGGACCATATACCAACTACTACATGATCCTGCCATGAAATGCTACAATATTGGTATTTTAGCAACATCTATAAGCAATCCTCAGTCTGGAATATGGTCTACCACAATGTATTCATCCTTCTTTTTAATGATTTTCAGAAAGATATAAACAAGGCCAAAAGTTGCTCAAATAAAACCAAATAGATTTAGTGAGATATAGGAATCAAGTTCCCTATAAAATTCTAAGACTTTAATACTATATTTTTCAAAGTTATTTAAAATATAGAATAGTACTTATATCTTTAGAGGGAAAAAAGACTACTTTAATGTAGCAATATAATCTATTCATAGGTTCATGGACCTAAAAACCTTCAGGGAATGCCATGGATCCATATCTCTCCATTTAAGATTTTAAGTTTTAAGTTAAATAGGTCATTGCTACTGTAAAGTAATACACCATGTTTGGGAATTTTCTAAACATGTAATTTACAAAGAGTTTGCATTGTTAGGTCAATTTTCCTTCCTGAAGAGCCTTAAAACCAATGTGATCCCACAAATGCTGCCTTCCCTACTTTATCTCCTGTGTCTTTCACAATTGAGCGGATTGTCACACTCCATTATGTGTCATGCAGATCCTTTGGCTTAGCGATATTACTGTACTTGTCGAAAATGGTCTTTGAAAATGAATATTTGGTTTAAATATAAAGGAAGCACCCTGCTAATAAGAGCAATTCTGTGGTCAAAACCTTTTCCCAAAGGAAATGACCAAAACTCCATTTAGCACACCCACTCACACACACACACAGAGTACCCAGAAAAAAGGCTCTATATTCAATATCATTTGTGTATTGTGTGTGAAGAATTAGGACTGAAGGTGAGGCAGTAGTTTGCTCTGTGCCTTATACATTTCAGTTTTGGTTTGGCCTTTGTGAGGCTCTCCCAATGTGCAGAATCCCTCCACTGATTCAGGTTGGCAACTCATTTGTTATTTTTCTTAAAGAGTTAAAAATGTTGCTGAAAAAATCATGGTTTGCTCATAGTTACCTGAAGAGTGTGGATCATTATCAGGACTTGGAAGGCTATCTTTCTTCCTCAAAGGCTGCCATGCCATCTGCTGCTATACTCTGTGCCTTGTCTCTTGGTATATAAAAGGCCCCTGTAATGTTTATGAAATTCTTGTATCAATGGACAATTTCTGTTCTAAGAAATTACCTTTTAATTTTATAAAAATGGACTTTTATTAGATTATGGATTATATAGATTGTTATTTACCATTAACTACATTGATGACACCCTTTCGTCATTAGGATGTCATCAAGGAATTGTAGAACAGGAAGAGAAGATGGACGAGGCACAAGGCAAGATGCCAGGTGAATAACCAGAGTGCTCTACTCTTTACCATCCCAATGTTGGCAGAAAGTAAGAAAGGCTCCAGAATACTGGGTGGTCTCCCTATAATGAATTTTTGAGAGAACATACTAGAGCAGGGATGTACTGGTAAACACTTAACAACCGGCTCTCTGAAGTACCCAACCCTTTCTAATTTAATCAGCATTATTAATGTAACCCAACTTCCAGAGTCTATTGGTATGGGGCTCTGTCCTCATTGGTGGAGATCAGTGCCCTGCATCTGCATGAGGGGCAAGATGGAGTTGAGAGCTTCAGGGGAGCTCCTGTCTCTCTGGGGAATCTCTGCAAGTCTCTTGGGAGCCTTTTTAGGCTTCGAGTGCTTCTGGCTTCCAGCTTTGAGAAGGAAGATGGATGATGCCAACCTCCCTGCAGGTTGCTAAAGGGAAAAGAAGACTCTGGGAAGAAGCCAGCATGAGAGGAGTTAGTAGTCTTCATGTCCCTGTGCCCAGCTTGCTACTCTAGAGACATTGAGGAGCTTCCCGTTGAGTGAGAGATCTGGGACTCTCTCTTTCTCCCGATGGGAGAGCTCCTTCTCTCTGTGTTGTCTGGTATACATTCTCCTATGTATATTTTCTCTGATTTCCATTCTGCTGCTAACTTGGATAAATGGGTTTCTTGGCTCCCTGCTATGTGTGTATTCCTTGTGGAAATGATATTTTGTGGGAACAGAGTAAGGGAGTCAAGCCTTAGATATAAAGCTGGGAGTCCTCATTTTCCCGTTAATGAACAGTGACCAAGAGTTTAGCTTGAACTTGAAAAATCACATCCCCCAGACTAACAATATTTAAGGGATCAGATAGATATAATTCTGGCTTGGCACCCTTCCCAGTTTCTCCCAGGAGTTGAGCAGAGCCATCAGCTTCAAGCTTCTGGCTCCAATCTCCTGCTTCCCCTTTCAGCAGGAATTAAGTCTTCCTTGGAGAAGGTGTGGGGGGGAGACAAGAAGCTGGAGATACTTACTCTTCCTCCCTTGGAGCCACACAGACACTCCCAGGCTACAGAAGGGGGATAACCCTCACTGCATCAGTGTTTTCTCCACTGCTTTCTGAAGCCTAGACAATCAACAGAACGATCAGTCAAGCCCTGCAGCCTTAATTTGCTTGCTAATTTCTGAGTTGTAAACGTCCACACCGAAAATTTAACAATCGCTCAAGCAAACCAACTTCAGCACCCTCTTGGACAAGAGTCGCTCAAGACTGGGAGGATGGGTAGGTTGTAATATGCATCGAGGGAACTCCTGAGTCAATCATATCATGGACCCAGCTGAGTATTCAAGATCCATGTTATTTATAGCTAAGGAGGAAAATCAGCTTTAGAGAGACCACAGTGCAAAGCCACACAAAAAACTTCTTCTTTCCTCTTGTTTTGTATTGTAACCAGCAGGTGGCACTATCTAGCAAGGTTTGGACGTTGGCTGTGGGAGCGCCTCTCCTCCCCATCCCCCATCCCCTAGCTCTCTTGATAACCTTCAGGCTTGTCCTAAATTCTAGCTAGAGACCATTCCTCCCAGACCACACCTTCCTTCTCCCAAGGGGTGACCTTATCTAGGTCCAAAGCTTATACTCTCCCCTTCACTTTGGAGGCTGAAGACTTCACTGAAATGTCCCTGACTCTAAAATATTAAATCCAGGTTAACGGTTCTAATCATATGATATGTCTGTCTCTACTATTGGAGAGATTATAAGTGTGGCATATAGAACCAAAAGGTACATAAAGAACCGATCTTTTGATATTGTGGGACTTAATTGCTTTCTGGACTGCTTTGATCTGTCCCTTTTTACTCCATTTGGCCAAAATCCCAAGTAGCGGTTTTACTGAGTCTTGAGATGCAAGGTGTCTCTTTCAGATTTTGGAATGGTTTATGTTCGTCATAAAGTTCCCCCCTCATTCAGAGTTCACATTTCACATCAAGTTAGTAAATTTGGTTTATTAACCAAAAATTAATAAATTAACAAATTTTCATTTGGCCCAGTCTCGAAGAGGATGAGAGGGAAAAATCCTTTTTCAGCCACCCCAACAGTGAGATAGAGAAGATCTGTCCTCTATGCCTCTTTATTTCTATGCAAACTATTCCCTGACTTCCTCCATCGTAGTCCCCCTGTGCACAATTAATAGATATGAATCACAAAGATATTATGATCATAGTTTTATATAAGACAAATTATAAGTTAAAAACAACTTAAAGAGAAAAAATGTTTTAAAAGTGTCTGCTTAATGCAAGAAAAAAAGGAGTGAAAAGACTTTAACTCTGATTGTCCTTTCATTGACCCCCAAAAGGAATAATAAGCAGCACCCTTAGTCTGTTTTGCGCAAGCCCAATGGGGTTGGTTTTCTAATGAGTGGAAGTCTTGGCCTCTGGAGCAAAGCCTGCAATGCCCCCCCTCCAGTTTCTGGGTTCACATTACATGACTGCAGGACCTTCTTTCTCTCTCACCAGCTACCATTACTGCTTCTCCCTCCACTCCCAGCTCAAACTCAAACTACACTTCAATGCTTCTGATTGGATCTGACTCTTCCTCCTATTTCAGTCAATCAACAAACATTTATTAGGTGCAAAGTACCCAGTTAAAGCTCTGGGAATATAAAAAATAGCAAAAGATAGTTCCTGCCCACAAGGAGCTTACAATCTAATCAATTAGATTGTTATTACAATCTATCTGTAGATGGACTCACACAAGGATTTTTCTCCCTTGGTGAGATGCTAAGGAGGAAACAACCCTGTCTATCTGGGACTATACTTCCCAGAATTCACATAGGTAGATTTCAGAATCTTTCCTCACTCACAAGGAAATCAGTTTGAATACCTAGAGTGGGAATTCTTTTTTTTTTTTCAGCCCATTGTAAAGGGCTTTGATTAAGGAAAGCAGTGGGGCACACACTGGAGAGATGTGGTTTTCTTTTATTTTTAACTATGAAGGAGCAGACCAGATAATAAAGGGGAATGAACTATAGTCTCACAAATTTTTTTTACATCCAAATTAAGTTAGCCATTAGAAGCCTGCAACTAATATATACCCAATGATAACAAAATCCCTAGCTACAGAAAAAACCTCATAAAATGAAAAAATAACATCAGAGCGGAATGTGGGGGTGAAAAGGCTGCTCATTTCTAGGTTATATTTTAGCAGTAGGCACAGGTAAATAAGGGAAATAACCCAAAGGTAACTTATTCCCTTCAAGTAGAGATTCTTCCCTTTTGGTGAGGGGAAGGGAGGAAGGAGTAGGGAAGCATTTTAATTCAGTCACTTCAATCATGTATATGCAAAATAATAATAATAATAATAATCAGAGAGATGAGTTACTGAAACCAGTAGAAGTGCTGAGAATTAGAAGAGGGACATAAAGAACAGAAAATGAGTGAAATTTTTGAAAGATCTTTTAGCCATAATGCCAGTAGATTGGGCAGCTAGGTAGCGCCATAGTGCATAGAATGCAGGGCCTGAAGTCAGGAAGATGAATCTTCCTGAGTTCAAATCTAGCCTCAGACACTTACTAGCTGTGGGACTCTGGGCATGTCGATTCACCCTGTCTGCCTCAGTTTCCTCATCTGCAAAATGAGCTGGAGAAGGAAATGGCAAACCACTCCAGTATCTTTGCCAAGATAACCCCAAATGGAGCTGGACACAAGTGAAAACTGACTGAATAACAACAAAACCAATAGGTTGCATTTGCTTTTCAGTTGTTACATGACTTTCTATTCTTCAGGATCATGGATTTCTTCATTGATAAGGAAACTGAGGCCTAGAAAGAGAAGGTGATTGGCTCAAGGTCACAAAGGTAGTGAGGGGCAGCAGAGCAAAGTAAGAACGGGGATCCTCTGACGGTAGCAAGATCTGGGCCTTTTTTTACTCTGTACCAGAGTGTCTCTTTTGAAGAGAAAGAAAGCACCTCTGTACAGACCTAATTATACATTATGCCAGAGGGACCTAACCTTTTTTGTGTCCTGGATCCCTTGGGTAGTCTGGTGAAGCCCCTGGGCCCATTCTCAGAATCATGTTTTTAAATCATTGAAGAAAATGCTAAATTTCAGTTAGAGTAAAAATATAGATATAATTTTTACCCATTGAAGTTCACAGACCCACAGAGACCCCAAGTTAGGAACTCTTCAAAAGAAAGAATCAGGAAACATTAAGTTCTTTTAAAATAAGGGAAAGTGAAAATGCTAAATTAGTCTTTTTTCTTTAATTGTGTTTATTCACTTCACAGACTTCCGACATTTCTTTCAAGTAGGTACTTATTTATTGTGATTTGGCCAAAATGCCCTAAGACCTGGGAGAGTTGGGGGCTCATTCTCAGCAGGACGTTCTAGACAAAGCAGGAAAGGGCTAGGAGGCCCGCTGCTCATCTGAATGTCCCCCGAAGGCATCTTAAAGTAGAACTCCAGTTTCCACTGTCTCTTTCCCCACTCATCCCTTCAATACAAATCTCATTTCCTTTAGCCTTTCCATGTGGTGGGACTTAATTACTTTCTGGACTGCTTCGAAATCCCAAGAACTTTTACTGAGTCTTGAGATCCAGGTTGTCCAGCTCAGATTTTGGAAAGGTTTGTGTTCTTAATAAAGTTCCCCACTCCCTCCAAGTTCATTCTTCATATCGAATTAATAAAGTTTTGGTAGTTGTTTAACTAGATTAAATGTTACACTTTCCATAGAAAGGGAAGGCACTACCTTACTGACCTATTTTTCATCTGTGATTTAGAAAAAGGCGAGATTAGCATGGATATTGCATTTTCAAGGACCTCACCACTATTAAATAGACTGTTAAGTGCATTTTATGGCTGAAGAGTCTGTTCCCAGTTCAGTCTAGGAGACGTGCTAAGTTCATCTCTACCTGCTACATTGAACATTCACTGACTAAAATACTTTCTGTGGGTGTTAATACCTATGCTCTGTATCTTTTAAGTACATAATGCTAAATGTTTTAGGACTAGTAAAATGCAACTCAATAAAAGTCTTCAGAA